AGATCTTAACGCGCCTTTTCATGTTTACACTTTGCTCATTTTTAGCGTCAAAATAATCAAATAATTGACGATTTATAGTCATCGATATTATTCTTCCGATTTTAAACGGAGCCGTTACATAAATACTCAATTTCGCAGAGACGACACTTTGAATATGTAAGATTATTGTTTGTTTTTTTTTTTCAACTGTTTGTCTGGTTTCAGATATGCTCACAAAACATCAATATGGATCCGAAAATAGATTTCGTTTTAAATGCCTACTGTCTTTGCGGAAACTCAAATTAGCTGTGTATTCCATCATATAATTATGATGTAATCATATTATATACCTACTTGAATATTACATGAAATATGTAAAGTTTATGAAAAATATGTATTTTATGCAGATAATATGTTTGATTTATGCAAAATATGCATTTTATGCAAAATATTCAGTTAAATCTTTTTGCATAAACATCCGCAGTCTAAAAATTATATATATGTAATAATATTATTATTAATATTAACATTATTATTATATTTTGTATAATGCCCCCTCTTGGAAAAAATCCTGTGGACGCTCATGCTCACCAGACTTGGCTCCGTCCGATTACTACTTATTTGCATCGATGGCGCACTTGCTCAGCAGCGCTTCACTTTTTACGAAGATGTACGAAAATGGCTAGATGACTGGTTTGGCTCAAAAGAGCAACAATTTTGTTGGCGTGGCATCCACAAATTGTCAGACAGGTGGGAAAAATGTATAGCTAGCGATGGGCAATACTTCGAATAAAGTATTTTTTATCACTTTCATGCAATAAACGTATCTTTTCTATAAAAAAAGTTTCATATTTACATACACCTGGTATGCGCGTGCGTGCATACGTGCATGCGTGTGTGTTATACATAAATATGTAAAGGAGAGTTGTTATAAATGTCTACTTATGGTCGCCTACCTTATCAATATTTTATATTATTATTTAATATAAGCAATAATTAATAACAAAGATATGAAATAAATGAAAAATAAATAATATAGACAAAAATTTAATAGATTACACTTCTTTCATATGTGTTAACAACAATTTGAAAATTCATGGTATGTAGCTAATAACAACAATAATAATGTAATCGTGTAATTTTATTCTGAATTTTTATTTTTTTATAAAAGAAGATCGATTTGTTATAAAATATTTTACGTAAAATATCATATTTAATTTTTATAATCCATCTTTGCAATTATAAATGTTAAATCAATAGTTTTTATAAATATTTCAGGTTTCCTAAATCGTACCGTAAAATAAGATAAAATAGTACTGTGGAGAGCATAAATCATAAGGAGAGGCGCTGCACGTAAATCACACATAGGATGGTTAGATTTGAAAAGTAAGTCTTTATTCCGCGATTCGAAAATACAATAATACGTGTTGTCAAGTTAAATGCTCGGTACGCACTGACTCCTCATCGAAACATCTAGGCCACCTATTCGCGAGGCCTCGTCCTTATTGGACGGTGTGATCGCGTGATTTCGTCACGTCACACAGTCCTCGCTTCCTATGTTTACGAATTCGATTATGTTTAGATATTCGACTACAGTACTAAAATTAAAATAATAAATATATAAATGCAAAAATAAATATAAACTAGTTTTACATTGTCCTTATATCTTTTCATTGTTATTGATATTAATTATTAAATACTTATCCTTTTTTTAAATAGAATATTAAAACTAAATATTAGTTAATTATTAAAATTTGATTAATGATAAGGTAATTATTTAGAATACGGGAGGCAGCACCGATGACCTTGACTTTGACATATGTTATCAAGGTCATGATCCTGAGTAACTTTGCCTTAATAACTAGCCGTCGCTCGCCCTTCGTTAAAAAGATATTAACAAAAAAAGTTTCAAAAATAACGTCCTATTTCTGCTATATATACAGTATTAAATACTATTCTACGTAGGTTTTGACCTTCCACGCGAAGTAACTTTCATCCCCCCCCCCTGCACAGGGGCACACGGCTTCTACGATTTACTGTTGCTATGATTAGTACTATCGGGGCAGACCTCTGTCGACGGTGTGGGTGCGGGGGGGGGGGGGGGGG